AATACCACATCACTTTTGAGGTAGTGTTTATGACCCGTCTGGTAGACCTTGCCTGCGAACTAATCCCACTGTGTATGTTTCTAGTCCCAGGTGGTGGCCAGGGGTATGATGGACTGGAAGACGGTCAGATAAGCCCAAAGCATCATTGTATCAATCTACCCGCATCTTTGTCAATACATCCTCTGATTTCAATATTTCCAAGAAGCAGTCACTCGAGGGGGAAATGTTGGCACGAGGTTCCTTTTGATCATCCTAAAAGTCTATGCAATCGAAGAAACGTCAGGCCTTTGTTTAAATCGCCGCCCAGGTGGGGACTAGTGAAACTGTCCTTTATTGCCGCAAATGTCAGATTCTCGGGTCGCTTTCCAAGTCGGACTTCTTGAAAATATTTGTATAGAAATGTATGCTCCTTTCTTCTTTGGAATATCCGGGCAACAATACAATAACAATTTCTTGGGGGTCGTTTTCGAATATTTTGCAGTGAAAAAAGACATAATGAGGCAGTTAGTAGACTCAGATTCAATGGCCTCTCGCCCACAGACATCGTTGTCAAGTTGGAAATGACCAGGTCAACAGTTTACACCATTATCGACTGTTATAAGAAATTCGGCCGCATCGACGGGAAGCCTGGTAGTGAAAAATCAAAAAAGTTCGAACCCCTCGTCCGGAATAGTATTCGCTGCAGTCCAGTCCGGAACATGAGGAAGATGACTTTGGAGCTCGAGGTGTCGGAGCACACGGTCAGCAGTGTCGTGAAAAAAAAGGACCTGAATGCTAAGTCAAGGGCTACGACCAAGAAGCATCTCATTACTGGGGTTGTGAAAGAGAAGAAAGTGGAAATAAGTAAGAGAACCTTAAGCTTCCTCCAGAAAGGACCACATGCGGTGCTCTACTCTGACGAAGAACTCTTCAGGATCGACTCAGTGTCCAGCAGTCCAACAGATCACTACATAAGTCCCCTGAAGGTCAACAAGTTATATACCTGAGAATGTTAAGTACAAGTTTCAGACTCAACATCCCACGTCAGTAATGGTTTTTGGCCTGACTGCCTCAGACAGTAGTCATGCCCCTGTGAAGGCCGGAGCCAAAGTGAACGCCGACGTGTACATGGATGTTCTTCAGAAGCATGGTAACCCTTGAATAGATTCCAATTACACTCCAGACGACGGCGTGGTCCGCCAGCAAGATGGTGCACCCCCACATGCGTCACAAAAGACACAGAAGTGGCTAGAAGACCACATGCCTTATATCTGGCCCAAGGACATGTGGCCATCATCCCTATCAGACTTAAATCCCCTCGACTACAGCATTTGGGCGTAAGTCGAGGAGGCCTACAAAAAGCCTCACAACAGCGTTGAGGGCCTGATGGTCTCCACTGCTAGAAAGTGGAACAAAATGTCACCGGAGTACGTCAGGAACACGTGCCCCAAGTCCAGACCGAGAATCGAAGAAGTCACTGCCAATAATGGCTCTTATATTGAATAGTTCCCTTCTAATACGAATTTCGAGTAAAATACATTTGTTCCTCCAGCCACTTGTTCTTGACCTGGGTCAGGCTGTAGTTTGGACCACCCAACTTACGAAATTTACAGTCGCATACACGGTAGACCTCGCTCACCTTGTCGCGGTCTCTGCACCCAGCGGAATAATCTGCTCCAGTTACCATGGACGCTTATCCTTCATCTTTCCTTGAAGCCGCAAAAGGATGGGTATGGAGGGTGAAAAGTCCTATTTCCAGACTCTTAGGATGTGGTTTTTACTTGTGCATTGAGGGCAGCCTTGGCATTGCCTCCGGAAGCAGCGAGCCAGGGATTGTGACGGTGTAGAAGCCAAGCAGCACCCCCTTACTGCTCTGTTCCCCTTAATGCTTGATCGGCACCACTCTCCAGACAAGGTTTGACCTTCCCAGACAGTGCTTAACCCATCTGACTGCCTTAAGGTGCGATCTGTAAAGGACCCAGCTGGCAGAGGTTTGGGCTGTAACCTAACCGATAAACATGGAGGATGGCTGCAACTCGTAAAACATCCCTCAAAGACGACATCAGTAGCGTACGCGGCGGTTTGCCCAAGTGGGAGTGCACGCCTCTGGGAAGCTAACTGGTCACTCAAGGGAAAGAAAAATTTCATTGGACTACTAGCGCAGTAGACCTGCACGTGCCACCAAAAAGTTTCTCAACCCTGGAATTGGGTTGATTGTAGATCACCAAACGTGCATACCTTATGGAACATTTTGTTCGCTCAAAAGAGAAAATAGAATAAAAAGCAAGAGTTCAATTATCGTACCAGTGGTTGATTCCCCCTTCCGCTTGTTAGCATCACTTCTCTAACCTTCCGTGATGTTCTTTCGAGTAAGTAACTAGCAGATGTATTGTGTATTTGGTTCAAGGCTTGCATCGAGAAAGTCTTCAGACGTCTCAAGTTGGAAGAATGCCCGACTCTTCGTTCTAAACGGCCACCTGAATGTGTCTAATCGGAATCAGATCTGGCGATGTCGCCGACCACAGATGAGTTCGTATGACGTTGGACTTTTTAATGATTTCAACAATCCTCCCTCAATGAGGAGTCATCTTGTCGTCCCGTAACGCAGAATTCGTCGCTCCTGCTGTGACTGGTGACAGGCGTTATCGTATCCGTGCTTGATTCCCCTTCTAGTGTTAGCATCACTTCACTAACCTTCCGTGATGTTTTTTCGGGTGATTACAGTAGATGGGCTAACACAGGAAATGTCAACGAAATTCCGAAATGCGTTTTCGTTCCGAAAAGATTAATTAAGTAGGGTTCTAAAACTATTCAGCCTCCAACATAATGCTGTAATATTTCAGTTACGACAGGATGTCAGCTTTCGAATGAACTCCCATCCGGCTGCATGCAAAAACTACACTCTGGAAAAAGTGACTACTTAAGTAGCATGAATTTCTCTCATGGATTTTTGATGCCCCTAAAAGTCCAATTATATTTTATGGAAAACATGCATAAAGTTATCCAATCTTTCGCTAATTCGGTAGAACATTACGCCCTCTTCCAATCATATACCCGAAGGAAGGGTATAATTCGGCTTTCAAAAACTTTTCCGATTCCCGAATAATTTTGAACCCGCTCTACCATTACACTTGGATTCAGGGTTTCAAAACTACAAGCCGTATATTTTCTGCGTACGGAAAAACACACATTTCTCTACGATAATAAAGGGGGACCATATAGGGTTCATAAAATTTAGCAGTGGATTGGATCCATATTGGTAACTTTACAAGCCACATTGGTAAATGCAGAGACAGCCATTTCACGGTATTTAAAAGTCCCACAATTAGAAACTTTTTTAAAACCGAATTATGTCCCACCTTCGAGTACAGAATTAAAAGAAGACGTAATTATCTACCGAATGAGCAAAAGAATGAATATTTTTATGCATGTTTTCCATCAAATATAATTGGACTATTAAGGGCATCTAAAATCAATTAGAAAAATTCACGCTACTTAAGTAGCCATTTTTAGTGTCATTTTTACATGCAGTCGAAGGGAAGTTCATCCGAAAGCTGGTATCCTGACGTAACTGAAATATTATAGAACTGTGTTGCAGGTTGACTAGTTTTACAACTCTACTTAATTAATCTTTTCGAAACGAAAACGCATTTCGGGATTTCGGTTGACATTTCATGAGTTAGCCCACCTACTGTAAATAGTAGATGTATTGTGTATTTGGTTCAAGGCTTGTATCGGGACAGTCTTCAGACGTCTCAAGTTGGAAGAATGCCCGACTCTTCCTTCTAAACGGCCACCTGCGTGGGCCTAATCGCAGTCAGATCTGACTATGCCGTCGGCCACGGATGAGTTCGAATGACGTTGGTCTTTTTAATGATTTCAACAATCCTCCCTCAATGAGGAGCCATCTTGCCGTCCCGTAACGCAGAATTCCTCGCTCCTGCTGTGACTGCTGACAGGCGTTTCCTCCGTATACTAAGCTATTTGTCACCATCAACATTTCGAGGCGGAATCAAGAGTTCGCTTTTAACATTGGTGTACCTTTTTCCCCTCCCCCAGCATCCTGCATCAGGTGACGATTACGGTAAGTTCCACACACTTTGTTGGTTGTTCGCCGACTTTTGGTGAATCCGTTCGGCTGTTTCAGGCTGAAAGCAGACTCGTTGGTAGGAATTATTCTGCTTCATTGTACGGTAAGACGCAGGCCAGTCAAGTATTATCGATTTAACGAAGGCACACTGCTTCTGCGCCTATGTACGGGATCGAGCTCATCTAACCTTCCACTAAATTTGGGCAAAGATGCTCGGGAAACGGAAACAATTAGTGCACTGTTGCAGCGAGTGTGAATTCGCTGGCTCGTGTACCTCTCAACAACCGTCAATTCTCCGTGTAGGAAGCATAATAATGATCCCTTTCCGGCTTTGTGCTGAACTATTCATAGAATCCATTGTCCTAGGCTCGATGACCGGTTGACTGCAGCACGCAGACTTCAAGTGCATAGACAAGAACGTGAATAAAGTGCTCTGCTTCTTCTCTGGGGGAGGGAAGACATGTCTAGTTACGCTGTTTAGTAGAAAACATCAACTACAAAAGAACATATGGATTAAGAGGCCTAAAAGGTAAGTTGCCGACTGAGCCTATGCGCTAGACAGGTTGACTGCCCAATTCTGGTGGAGAGTTAAACATAAAAGATTTCGAGCGCCGGGCTGATAAGAAAACGCCAAATTTACATGGACTGCTGAACAAAAAAAATTTACCCACCGGGGAAACACTGACATCTCGTGCTTAATGCAAGACGTGTGTGTGTTACAGGAGAAACAAGTCGGTGATACAAAGGCGTGCGATGGAACCAGACCTGCAGTAGTAGCTCCACAAACATTTCAGGTAGACACAAAAAGCACTTGTGCTGAGTAGGCGCCAAACACGACTACCCAGTGAGTCCTCAAACATTCATTTCGGGCAAGTTAATCTGAATGGGCGGTAGGGGGAGGTAGGGAGGTGGGCATGTCTCCTTCCTGGAATCATTCATTGGTGCTCGCGGGTTTTTCTTCACCCTGCTCTTCAGTCTCCTTTGAAGCCGAGGCATCGCCTTCATCTCCCGTGGCAGCGTTTGCATTTTCAACCCAGAGCCCGCTATCGATGCAGAGTTTCATTACTGCCTCAGCCTCGTGTGGATCCATTTTGGAGAGGGTAGTTTTTAACAGTTCCACGTCCTGGTTTTTGAAGCACTCTTGAAGTTCCTTAAACATACAAAAAAACCGTACTTACAACACGCCAGTAGCAATTTTTAAATATTCGATTGAATGAAAACTCGCGAAATAGGCATAGTGCCCTTTACCGGGGTTAGGCTTTCGAAAACCTCGAGTGGATCAAGACCGCCAGGGCCGAGACGCTTCTTGCGTTCTTCCTAGAAATACATAAGTGAAGATGATAAGAAGTTCAAGAGAAGCTAGTCAAAGGGCAGTTTGTTGTTACTGAGGCACCTACTTCTTCGTAGCGTTCCACCGCCTCCTGGACCTTGACCTCAGCACGAGCGCGAATGCGTTTGCGAAAAGCGTCCAATTCGTCGTTAAAAGCCCTCTGATATTCCGGTTCAGGGTTGATGAACCTAATAAATCGGGGAAGAATCACTTAGTCTAGAAGAAAAACTAAGTGTTCATGTCAAGCCCAACAGTGACTATGGCTTGGAAATCTCGGGAACAAATGAAAACGCAGATCATATTTTAAATATGTATAAAATTTTCTTAGACAGAAATGCTTAAACCCCTAAATGGCAAACTCCAAAAAGGGCATACGTTCGCACTAAACGACTGAAGAACATGAATTCTTGTATATCAATCCTCGTAAATATGAAGTATACAAACATCAAAAATTGACTAAAAATTGCATGCCCTAGATTTTTTGTCATTCCCGAGCATGATTAGACGATGGCGTACTGTAGTGCAGGATTGGAAGAGTACGGCGACCTCGCATAAGGGACTTTCGCTACTTAAAAGTATACCTAAAGACTTCAGCGGATGTTTCGTCATTTACGATGCATACTGCGCTTTTGTGATCCCTGGAAGCTTCAGCTGTGCGATATCACCGCGCCTGAAACAAAAAAATGTCCCGAGCAAAGCCAGGGAATCAGCTGAAACTCATAAGGACTGCGTTGATGAAAGTGGAAAACGGAGTGTAGGGGTGTTCAGTTTTGGGTCTATGTGATGGTCGCAGTAGATTGCTCGCTTGTTTGCAGGTGTAGGCTACGTCTAGCGTCCGTTAACTGGCACTCGACTCCCACATGTGGCGCCTCGAAGTTGGGTTCTGCCTGGCACGGCCACACCCCGTAGGACTAAACCAGGTGGGGGTATCCGTGTGTGTATCCCCACACACGGCAACCCTGTTCCTACTCCCCTCCCCCATCCCGTCCATAACCCTTTCATTCCCTCTTCATCTCTACTATCTACTCTGTCTACTCTCTTCTTTTCCCACACGGTCGAAAAAACCTACAGCGAGGGCGACATGCAATCACTTAGACGATCCAGACCAATCTCCACGCGGCTCCACTCCCTCAACCGCTGGCCAGATGGATCACTGCCCCGGCATCTCCGAGGTAAGGCTCCGTAGGCAACCCCGCAGTAGGTCACGGGCACTCAGCAAGCTACTGGCTCAGTGGCTGGAAGATCGGTCCCTTCATGCCCCTCCGCACCTGTTCTCCGCCCTTCACTCTCTCTGCTCTACTTTGCCCTTACCCTGCGATCGAAAGTCTCACGGACAACCGTATCGCCACCTCCAAGACAAGGCTTCGTCTGCGACCCCACAAGAGGCCACAAGGTAAGTGACCCCCAGAAAAGTTAAATATTGCTTTGTTGTCTTTGCTTTTTGCTTGTTCATCTTTGTCTGCTTGTTTGTGCTTACCCTTGTTGTAAGCTAAAATACCGTTTTGATGAATACCGTTCTGTTGAATTTGTTTGCTCACCGTTTATATTTCAGCAATCAGTTAGCTTAGAGAGGCGAATCTTCAAGGCTAGCCAAGCTTTCAGTCGTCTGCAAAACAGGTGCGAAGACTCAACCACTTCCACCTCAGCTGTCTTCGATAGACAGGACCGGATCCCGGGCACGGACGTACTACAACTGACGCGAATCCTCAGCATTTACGTCACGCTTAGACAACTGCAACAGCGCTGAAACGGCCACCTCATACGGATGGACGACGAGCGGCCACTCAGACGGCTCTTTTACGGAGATGTCGCCATTAGTTCCCGCCGACAAGTCCGGTACTAAAAGAATACCCTGAAAACTTCCCTGAAGTGCCTACAAATGAACTCGGCCAACTGGGAAGACCTGAAGGAATGTAGTAAAGACAGGCGCAATCTTCGAAGTCAACCGCACCACCGTTGCCAAGGCTAAACACGGAGCCCGCAGATCTCAACTGCCCCCACCTCGCAACGCCAACACTCAACCTCCCCCACACCGACAATCAACACTGGCCGCACTCCTAAACCCTCACAGCAATCCTCCTCCGTCGCCTCAACATCCACTGCGCGGCTCCTGCGCCCACCACGACTGCACACAATCCTGACACACCGACAAACATCTACTTCACCACCATCAACACCAACGATGTGAACTCGGTCCATACATGTGCCCATTAGAATCGCATCCTCACCTCACACATCGGCCTGGTCGATCACTTGCGCATCTATCGCACAGAGACCATCGAACCAGTGCCTGGAGCATCAACATATACCAGACGCATTCGACTCAATTGCCAACACTGCCCTCGCATATTGAGCCACCACATGGGTCTACGGGGTCACATGCGGACTCAAGAAAGCCTGTTGTAAACTATCGCCGGCTACACCAAACCACCTCATCTTCCCTCACCAGCATCCGCACCTCTCAACACCATCACCAATCACAAGCATCCAAACTGCCACCTCTCACGCAATTGGGAAGTGCGCGTCTCGGCCCCTTCTCAATGCGGCCCTTCTGCTGCATGTGTGATCCGAGTCTGAGACTATCACGGCGCGTCAAGCACCGCGGCTTGGAAGGCTGCTGACTGACGCCGCAACTCAGTCCACGCAGTCCGTCCAGTTGTCTGTGCAATAACGGACTGGTGGGTTGAGAACCAGGCTGAAACGGCTTCTTCTTAACGTGAACTATGGCACTCTCATACCAGTGAGCTGTACGCCGCCTAACCCCCATTGTGTGAGATCCTGATGCTTGTGTTTGGGGGGCCAGGTCGTGCCTGTGGCACGCGCAGACAAGGTCACTAGCCATGTCAGCCACCGCGCCCATTCCCCTCACCTGTCAACTGACCAGCTCGGACAGTGGCCAGGCCTGAGAATGGGAAGGGAGAGTCGCGTCGACGACCCAACGCATTTTCTTCACTATAAACAATCTGACGCGCTTCAGGCTATCGAGGTGCACTAAAAGCCGTGGCGTGGGAGGTTGCCAGCTGATGAAATAACTTGGACCTCGCAGTCGGCCCAGTGCGTGTTTGTATGGAGCGGCCGATTGGTGGTCTAGGAGTCGGGCCGTAATGGCTCCTTCTTAATGTGGCCTTTAAGGTACTCCGACTCAGTAGAATACGAACCGGGTGTGGCGGAACGCCTAGAGACGGCTCAGGTCGCGCCAGCCATCTGCACCCTCTCCCACCTCTGGTCTTCTTGACTGTCTTGGCATCGGGCCCAGGTGGGAGGGGGGGGGGGGAAAGAGTGTGGTAGACGCAGCGCAAGTCCACCACCACTAGAAACTAATTCAGGCGCAAGTCACCGTACCTGCTCTCACCTTGCCGTGGAGCACACGGTAGACATCGTCGGTAACGACGGTCGAACCGTCGGATGGAAAACGTTTTTAGTGGGTGTGGCACATCCATCGCACTATTTCTAGCAGGGCGTTGTCCCTTTCAGCAGAGAATTTCGCGAAAAATCCCGAATCATGCAGATTCTGGTCTGGTCGATATTTTTGCGCAAAAGCATGATGTCATGCTAGTTGCCTTGGTGCCTAGGTTGTAGTTCGTCCGTCGCGTGAATACAGTAGATGTGTAGTCCCGTGAAACGTTAAAAGAAATCCTGAAAAGTGCTTTTAGTCCGAAAACATTCATTAAGTGGGGGTTTTAATGTAAATTATCGTGCAGCATAATCTCAATCACGCGAGGATGCAGGCTTTTAAACGAGCTCTTCTCAGGCCGCCTACAAAAATTGAACCGTAAAAAATGACTGCTGAATAACATGCATTTTTTCCATTTCTTTTCGGTGCCCTTATAAATTTTAACATGCTTTATAGAAAAAGTGTCCCTTCTTGTATTCATGTGGTAGAAAATTGCGCCTTCTTTAAATGTTACGCCCGAATAAAGGGCACTTTTCAGTTTCAAAAAAGTTTCTAGTTGCGAGATCTTTTAAAATCGTGAAATTTTTCTATTCATGAATCATCGTATCTGCACATTTATTCGTGCTTTTCCTCTAGTATACAACGGGGTCCACGTCCACTGCAAAATTTTGTGCGGCCTATATGATCTTTTCTTAATAGCGTACACGTATGCACGATTTTCCTTGCGCGGAAAATGCACAGCTCGTAGGTTGGAGACCCAGAATGCAAACGTAAAGGCAGGTTGGGTCCGGAATCGTTCAGAATTAAAAAAAAAACTGAAAAACACTCTTTCTCCAAGCATACAATTTAAAGGGCATAATTCACACTAAATGGGCACAAGAATATTTTCCAGCACTAGAAGATACCATACGAGGCAGCACAGGTACTGGTTAAGAGCCCAGACACGCGCGTTTCGCCGATATTCTGCCGCTGCGCTACTCCATGTGGGAGAGCCCCCGACAGGACAAGAGGAATTTGGGGAATAGACTGGTAGGGTTCTCAAGTGATGCTGGTGTTTTGTGCTTCCAATGGGGGGGAGGTCGTTGCCACATCATACCCCGTCGAGTTTGCCGCCAATTTACGGAGTTGATGGTGAACACAACAATGCTCTCAGCCCTATCACGAACTTAAACTTCATTTTCTGCTCGACTCGGACAGAGATGAAAGACTGAACCTCCGTGCTTAGTGCCTCCACTGGGCTGGTCACCGCCATTGAGCTCGATTGTGCTTTGAGGTATTCGGGGTGCCAGACTTCGAACGTCTGCACTCTTCGAAAGCAGTCTTGGATAAGGATCATTCCACAACCGCTATTGGCCGAATTCGCCTCTTTTATCGCCGCTCCAACGTTGACGTAATAATGAAATTATCCAGATTGTCACCTCATCTGAAATTGGCACTGACAAGAAACTGTGCGGATTTTTCAAAGTAAAGATGTCAGTTGTAGATGTAGAAGGCTTCCCTTAGAGCGCATACACGACTCTGGGCAAACAGTCCTGCGTGGTTTGCGCTACAAGTGGAACAACTTATCGCGTGAGGCTGGCGCCAACAAACTGTAATGGACGGCGATTATCTGCGACGTCATGTGCTCAAAAAATGAGGCTCGAAACCAGTATTACGAATTGTCTTCAAAAAATACAAAACTAAACAAACAACTCTTAGAAGAGGAGCATTTGGAACTTAATCCCCACCATTTGCCAGCGACAACAAAGCCATCTTCCGTTCTAAGGCCCTTCTGGGAAATAGGAAATGTTGGATCGGGTACACTGGCAATGCATTCATGAGATGGAAAACCGAAAATATGCCCAACCATACCAACCTTTTTTTCGTGAATGGCCCAAGGTATCTTCCTAATTTGTCCCCGACTACAGAAATTTCGGACCCCTCTTCCTCGTTAGAATATGATAATTTACCCGAACACTTTACAATAGTGCTGCATGTTTGCTTTGTCAGGCCAAATTAGATATCAGATCTCCTATTCTATTCACTGCGGGCGGCCATTATCTGGTGTGACGGACACTTATAGGGCAGCGGGTAGTGGACATTGCATATCGAGTTAATTAACCACAACGATGGTCTGGTTCTATTGCTCAGAGCAAAGAAGATCCGTAAAGCATCTGACTAGTGCATTTAAAAACTTCGACCAATGTCCAGAGAAAAGTGAATTTACTCACTTGGCGAAGAATGGTCGAATACACGATCGGGGGTCGCATTTCAAAGATTTGGCTAGCTCAAGCATGAATTGCATGACAATGCACTGGTGAGATACGTGGTCCATTAGTTCAAATTTCTGCAGAAAAGTGCAAAAGGCTTGAAGTGTAAACGCTCGAAGACTAAAATACAAAATGTGGAGACTACGCAGGCTCTGTTAAAACCTAAACTGTTAACCTGGGAGGGAAGCTCACCTCCGCATAGGACAAAACCCGAAAATGTCTTTGGAATTAATGAAGTTGTCAAACTGGGACAGCAAATAGAAAATGCGATGCAAATTACCTCCTCCATGGCGAGGTCAAGACACCAAAGAACCAATTGGTTGGCTGTTTCCTCACAGACAAGATTTGGGTTCTCAACAAGGAACTTTTGAGTATCGACAGGTTTCCGAAACATGCCCAGCTTCTTTATTTCCTTATCATGTTTCTCTACAAAGGTCTTAAGACGATCAGCTGCATCCTCCTCGGATTTTTCTTCGTGTTGTAGTGTAGCAGCATTAATGATCTAAAAGTCAACAAAAAATGCGTAGAAACCCTTGCCATTTGGTAACCCGTGCGTGATCACATGAGCACAGGGAGGTACTTTTACATGAAAACGGGTTCTCAAGAGCAGTAGCGAATAATTACGAGACGCCTGATACCAGCTCCAAATGAGGATGTCCTGCTAAGAGTTAACGAGAGCGCTGTGAGACCTCAACACTGTCATTCGAGGACAGTTCTTTTGTGGAGCGACACAATTAACGGGGAAATTCTAAGGTAATGTCCGAGTCTTGCATTTGTTAGGGATTCCAGATCAAACATTGGGTAGAAACCTTGCCGAGTTTTGTGGTATATTATGGCATTCTAATGGGGACTTTAACCTATGCGAAGGGAAAGATCTCTTTTCTTCTGCTTCAAATGTCCAAAGTCATTCGGGAAAGTTTCAGTTGTTATGTTAAACCAAACTTTGTTGAGGGTTCCGCAATGCTAGGGCCAAAGATCTTTAGGCAGTTGTTGATGGACCTCGTGCTCGGTCCTCCAACGCATTTTAAAGATAAACCATCGGATAGTTGTTTTTTTAATCTCCTCAGAACTGCGGACTGGGAGCAATTGAGTTTATATCAAGGTTTATAGGCACAGACTGAAATATGATGCAGGAACATGTGGGCCGAAGTCAATCACCTACAGCGGGATAACCGCGTAATATTCCTTAGCGCTAACAGGCAGCTAATAGTATATTTAAGCGTAACACTAAAACCATCGGATACTTGGTCCAAGTTTACATGTCAGACATACGGGTGACGACAGTAACGAGGAATACATGTTACTGAAGTAAAGAGTGCTTCGGTGTCTGGGTGGGCAAAATGAAAATGAAAGGTTCGACCAGCAAACGCAAATTATCAGACGAGTGGGAATATAGGGTCTCCAACATATTGCGAGTGGCTGCAGCTGGCCAGTAGTTACAGAAGACTGACGAAACCGCCTGAGCAGAATGGATGGTCTCCGCAGTTGCCTCTAGAAATCTTTGACGTGGTTAACAGAGTAAGTCCTATCTCTGAGAGGGACTGTCGACTAATTTTAGTATTTTGTTGGCAGTAAACCATAAACGTGATTTCAATCGCTGTTAGTCGTTAATCAGGCAGGATCTCGGGAGCAATAATCCAACAGCCTAGAATTTCATCCAGACCTTCCTAATTCTCAGTATCTACTGGAAACCTGGCGGTGCGACAATTAGTGCGAACCTAATTTCTTGGGGCTCATAGCTTAGGGAAAGATGGTGGTGCAAATGGTGACAATAGCAAAAGCTTCAAAGGTGGCAGCGAAACCATGAGCTGCGATAACAGTGTTGATGAAAGCTTTCCATGTCTAGCTCTAAAATTACTAGTACGGCACGTGAGTGCTTCCCTGTGGCAACAGGATTCTCGACGAATGTTTCGATACCGATGGGCTCCAAAAATGGACACTATTACAGGGTGAGATCCACATACATGATAAAGGGAGACAGGTATGGTTAAAGGACCCATTAGGTTAGACAGCATAATGCTGGCATTTGACACTTACCGTTTTCGATTTCCCCTCCTTGCAAATCGTGTCAATGTTCAGGGGTCTTAGCTATGCATACATATAAGAAAACTTCAAAATGTGTACCCTTTCTTTCTTTGCCATTTCCTTTTGCCTCTCCTGCCATTTGGCATCCTCCACTTTTAGTTTATTTAACTTCTCTTCGAGCTCTTTGAGGTTAGGTGCATTGGCCTGACCGTTAGAAAACTGATCGAATATACCTTGACAGCTGCATCGTACTCCTCTCGAGCTGACTGGTAGGCCTTAAGATGAGCTTTTAAGTCCTTTTCAAAGTCTTCCTTCTCCTTTTTCCAGGCAGTGTCCCGTTCGAGTCTAGCTTGATGGCGCCAACGGAAAAGACTGGGGGTATCTATATTCGGGTGAGTGTCGTCCTCGTCATCCGAAATCTGATATAGAATGTTAAGAGAGGCGGACTGTGTACCTCGATGTGATCCCATTTGCTGTAACTAAGCGTTGACATTTCTAGAAACTGAAGAACGACCTCAGCGTCTTTTATTCTGCGCGCTTTTAACTCGGTCAATTTCAAGTCACTCTGTGTGGTCAAGAGAAGGAAGTGAAAGATGAGATATTATGGTGCGGCTAAAAATTAATAACTCGTGGGACTTTTAATATTTTTCTGATAAAATCCGCAGAGATGCAAACTTAGAGTCCGGGCACTGTAGGGCAGCTAGTAGACGGAAGGAACTAGGCGGTCAAAGGAGTTCGGGCCGAGGCAACCACACTCTAACTACAATATGGAGTCCGCAGTCAAAAATTAGAAGACTAGAGGTATAAAACGGTCACATGAGCAAACTGTCGTCCTCTGAGGGGTTTTTATTCTTCGAGATTTCCGTACTCTGGATGCTTCTGCAGCCAACTGGATTTTAAAAATTGAATTCCAAACAGCAATGTTCGCATCGTCGACAATTTACGACATCTTTTTTGCAGCACATGAACTGCGGCATTATCAGTTCTGCATGCGAACTCAGAAAGATCGATCTTCTAGCAAACGAAACGGTTAGAACATATTCTACAAAGGCTGGGTCTCACTCCGAAACTTGAACATTACCTGTACGCTTGTTTCAAACCATTAGCTTAGATTTCTGTTAACTGAAGTACCGTTTAATCCGACAAGGTTTTTTCTGTCTGAAGTCCCGAGGTATTCGTACAGATTTCTGTTGCCTGAAGAATTCGGGCGTCTAAACGCCTTAGACCTTCTTTTGATTGCGTCTGCCTCCTTTTGTAGAATACTGTATCCCGGACTCTAGCTCATAAAGATGTGGGAAATGCAGAAGTGTACGATCCATCAATTCCGCAGGATAAAAGAAGGGAGCGGGGAGTGGGATCGATCCTCCAACCCCCCCCCTTTCCCGCAGAGAACGCCTTAACCTGTCATCCATCGACGCCGGTGAGATGGCCTCTACGAATATTAATTGCGTTTGCCCTGTAGTTGGAAGATATATCGGACTTGGCCATGAACATTGTGCACTTGCAACTCCATGTGTCCAGCATGGATTCACGTCGGGCAGGGAGGATCTAACGAATGCAATACGCCAGAAGTGGCTCAGAATAGGACAGATGTGCCCCGCGACGCAAATTCTCCACGACTACACAGGATTTTCTACCAGATGCCGAACCTTAGACTTTTGTGCGCGGTGTAAATATTGTCGTGATTTTGCGTTAAACATTACATCGTTGGGGGCGAATATGAACCTCTTCATAGATCTCATTGCATTGTTACTAAAGTATGATAAATTCAGGTCAAATGATAAATTCAGCAGCAGCCAACAGATAGTTCTTAAACTGAGAGAGTTGACTAACAGCAACCCATGGATAGAAGGGTTACCGTTTCAGGAGATCGCTAGCTGCAGAAATAAAAAAATTGCAACGAGAAGAGGTAACGACAACATGAACATACAGCCTCACCCTCACCAAGAGCGGTGGTAAACGACACTCCAAAATCGCAAACTGAGTTGTGCTAGGCACAGCTTCTGAGTTAATTACTAGATGGCGAAGATTAGCACCGACCTCCTACCGCGGGAGGTAGGAGTACCTGTAAAATGCAAGTGGAGGAAAATCGTAATCATCAGCAGGATCATATGGGGCCGACAGTCTGATATCACTGGCGATAAGGCTCAAGAGAAGAAAGTGATACTAATTATTGGTAGGCCCGGCTGAAACGTTCAAATAATGACGAGGAGTATGGAATCAGATATCTCTACAAAATCAGTTCAACAATAGCATTAATGGCTATATGAACCAGCACTTAGCTAAGTTTACCTCCTAAAAACGCAACAGTTGGGACTGGTAAATAGGGAAAGAACGAACGAGTAGACTGCATGCGAGATTAAACTTATATCTTTGAACATCGGTGAAAGAGCCAGGAATCATTTGATCACGTCACACCTTTTTCTTCCTCCTTCGAAAGCTCAGGACGCTTGCTGATGATATATGTCTTTCAGTCACGACTGCTCTATCCAACGATGCCCGTGGTTAGCTGATAGAAAGTAGGCACCTCCCGTTTCCCCCTCATGCGTTTCGCCATCTGCCCGCATACTTTATCAAGGCACAGCTAGGACTCCACCATGGGTCCGAAGGCCTGTGATAGGCGTCCATTTCGATTTGCCGATACCGTCGGCGAGGTTGGCTGCCCATCCGCTAACAGTTTTTCATATCAAGGCTGCATATTTTAAAAGCATTGACTGATCACTGTACAGTCTCTGCCTACTTGTCCTAAAATTCACTCTAAAATATATTTTAAGTGCTATGTCAGTACTCTTAGGGATACTAAATAAAACACTTTATTTGTTTTCGAGTTTAGTGGGTGAGATCTTGGTTTCCGCCACCGTCTCGGCAAACTTTGGGTTGAATCAGAGGAGGTTCAGTTAGGTAATGGCGGATGGGGGGGGGTAATGCAGAAGGCGGATAAGACCGATGCGCCGTTAAACATTGCAACGACGTGCAAAAAGAACGGAAAATGTTTAAACCTCTGCTCAGTCGCGTCACGTCAGTCCGGCCAAGTCCACCAAGTGCCCAGAACATTTACTTAAATGACTGTAAACCAGTTTAGTTAACGAAAGATGTTTTTGCACATTACATTTCTTCTTATATTCAGAAAAGTATAAAATAAAATCTAGAGTAGACGACTTGGAAAAATATCGCCATTGGTACGCTCGTGCGAGCTGCAAGCTGATACCACTGACAAAACTGCGATTGCATGCACAGAAATCGAAATACCTTAACTCAGTACGAAGGCCACATATCGACAGAGGGACTCATGGATCCTCCAGCGACCCTATTCGATAGGACATTCTTTCAGAGCTTTGTTTGCGTCAACTAACTCTTCATCTTAAAAGTGCCGCAATCAGACTGCCTGTTCAATCATCTTTACCAGCGTCTTGAACTCTCTGATTTCCTAAATGAGACGAACGAACGAACTTGCTGTGGACTGAAAGCTTCTGTCACACATATGTCTACTCGCTTTCATCGATCTAATGTATAGGTCCTTCACTTCAGATTCAGGTTGTATGTGTTATTGGCTTTCGCCATCGAAAATGACCCCGGATCTTTGGTACGTTCGTTAGACCTCATTTAGAACACGGAATACCAGCATGGACGCCCTGAATGAAGAAAGACAGTGACCACATCGAGCAGGTGTAACGACGGGCGACAAAACTGGTGGATGATCTTAAGACTCTGTCATGTACCGAAAGACCGAACAAGCTCAGTTTGTTCCCCCTATGCAATGGACGAAGGAGATGCAGCCTGCTGTGCAAGTTCCGCATTGTCCGCAGACATGAATGTCAGCTTAAATCTGAAGATTTCCTAGAGTTTGCAAACATGGGCAACCTGTGCTTTTAACCGCACGCGGTCAAACATAAATATACGTTATGGACCAACAAAACTTTCATATTGGTTAACGGGCATTTCGACCGGAAAATTCACTCTTAAATGTAAAAGTGATTTCTGATACTATGGTTCTGCTTAGAAGCCCGTTGGATTGTTTGATTTAGATAACCGACGACTCTATGGCCATTAATGAAATTTACCTCCTGATTTAACTAGATATGTAGCGCACCCCTATACCTTTATATGCAGCATATTTTTAGAGGAGTAGACGAAACTCTTGTAAACCCTGTTGAGAACGTTACATGTGGCATTCAAGTTTTTTTTAACTTCAGTCAGCAACATACACACTTTACAGAACATTATTGTAACAGCGTAAGACTGCAACCCGAACACCATTAATTTTTCTTTATGTCATGGGCCAAGTCCCAAATTGTGTTTTTTATGTACAGTTGATATTGTAGATGAAAGTATATACAGTCAGATTTGTATAGTTCAGTCATGAGAATGAGACCTTGGTGGAAGTCCAGTTAGGTCAACGGTACACCACCGAAAGCGTCAGTGGTCCGACATTCTTAGCCGGTATGGTAATGCTTAACAGTTCCACATTCCGTACCAAACTATTTATATCAGCCACAGCGGCCAGCCTGCAAGTGACGTAAATTATGACTCCTCCTATTGGGCTTCGTCTGTCTCGCCTGAACTGCTTATATGCTCTAAGTGATATTTCTGAATTTGTGATATATTCTGTAGGCTAAATTTCTGTGAAAGACATGTCTTACTGGATTTAATGAACTAAGTACCTTAGTTCATCGAGTTTGTTTAAGAGGATTTGTACATTTGCAGAAATAACCTTCAATGATTGTCTCGTTGGAGGGGCCCGGTCTTCACTATGACAGGTTTTGACCATAGAAAAGACTCCTTCATCTGGATTATTTGTCCATTTTTGATTCCCGGCCCTTTATATCCTTCAATTCGGATCTCAGTTCCCTTATTTTCAGTCATACCTTTGCTTCGTTGTCTGATTGACTTACACCTCTTTGTGCGAGCTCCGTACCTTCTGACAGAAGCGCTGCTGGGGCTTCGCTTTCTAAAATAACTATTAGGGATCATGGAGATGTTCTTAGGCCACGACCTGGGTCCGCTTTACCTAGTCGGAAAGCTTTTTTACGACGAAGATTTCCCCATCCTTCAGGACGGCACTGGCGTATTGATGAAGAAGATCAAGGTCGTGCATTACCCGTTCGTTCGTAATGTAGGGCGTTAACTATGGGGCGCCCCTTATTACAACATTTTGCTTACGATTTATGGAAGAGCTCATTAGTGCCCCATCCGCGCTAGGACGATATAGCATCATTGTGGTGCTCCGGGCGGATGATGGCGCATCGGCGCTAGGCTGATTTTCGTCCGACTTAGGAGGTATAGGACATGGATCTTCATATGACGTACTTGCTCCGACATTGGGGATTTAACATTCATTTCCCTGCTGCAATGTACTGCACGAAGGGTTATAATGTTCTTTTCCATATATGTAATGTTTAGAGGACTTTGCAGCTGAGTTGACCTTGTGATAACAGCGTCACCTTCCAAAAATAACGGTGTCGTCATTGTAATTTCTAGCCGATATTTCGAGGGCCACCCTGGCTTTCCCATCTTCATTGTACGATGACTTAGTACGTTGGTTACCGTAGCGTGTAACGAAATTTTACTTATTTGTTGCATTAGCGTCGACTGCCGCGTTATTCACCGGAACTGATTTGTCTGGAGTTTCCCCTGACGACATAACTCGCTTCCTCTTCCTGATCGGCTTCGAGATTTCCGTGCTTGTGCCTTCATTAGGAGGATATCCGTCGCTTGTCGATGGAAAAGGTGACGGATTAGTAAGTTATTCCATTTTATCGTGCTTCAGAATAGCCATAATGATGCTCGTCAGTAGGCCCTGCTTCTCTTCTAGCGTCTGGACTCACTTACTAAGTTCCTCACAACCGACACAGCGACCGACAATCGCAGAATCCGTACCGACTGTCATACGTTTTTTTAATGTCTGTTGGCAGTGCATTGGCTCTTATTTCCTGTAGTGTCTTGTGGAGTCTATTGTGCTTAAGCCCCTGGAGTCTGATGATTTCAGCGGCATTTTTTCGCAGAAGACTGCTAATGAATTAAAGGCCGTTCTCAAATTCTGTTCTGTAGTTAATAACTTAGTCTGAACAGCAGCTGACCGTCCATCCGCAGAGCAGTCGTTAACATGTCGATCTCTAGGTTCGGATGTACCGAGTTCAAATCCCGCTTGTGTAACTTTTGCTAATGCGTTTTTTTTTTATAACGGAGGGGCTCATTGCTGATCGTTTTCTATTTAAAATCAATTCTAGAATAGTGCTGGATATTTTCAACAAATTGTTGGGATAGATACGTTGATAATTATGAAGTTAGATGGAAAACGATTCAGCCGTTTGTAGTTGTCGGTGTAGATGTAACTGTCAAGTAGATGCTCTTGTACAGATAGGTGATGCGTAGAGACGGTAGAGACACATAATGCTGCGGGAGAAACAGTGAAAACAGAAATGGGATATACAGGCAGACCGACAAATGACTACGCGTCAGACTGTTCGGAAAATAATTCATAACGTACATCGCCCGTAAAATCCAAAAACTTCTAGACTGTAGTTCCCGTCGTATCTTGGATATTAATATCCAAGTTGTGTCGACTCCGTATGATGCACCGACTTCACAACTGATGGTGAACGGTACCGCCTGGTGGACTGATTTTAATCCGTTGCAAACATGTTAATACAATGAATCCCTCAGACCAGGGTGATTGTCGGGAAAAGTTTACTTACAAGTCTTTTGGTCAACAATTGAGTGGCCAGGGTTTGCCTGACAACAGAGTCGCGAACAGTAGCAGGTCAAAATGGAGAGGAGTTAGAGCAAGGGGCTGCTATAGTGAGTAGTATACAGACTTCGACTATATATTTTGTGGCCACAAAAGACGCGCTTCCTCTTGAACTGGATCCTCGCATCTCCCCCACCCAATAAAACAAAAGTAGATCTACTTTTGTTCCTTGAGAAACCAATTGACTTGGTCTTCATCAAAAGCTCCGCATGGCCTGTTCAATGCCACGTCCGCTGCATCATAGACAGCAGAAACCTATTAAGGTTTTCTTAAAGTTCTAAATGAGACGTCCGACGGTTTTTCTCTATGATCAAATGCAGTGTTCACATGTGGGGCAAGTGTAATTGCCAGCCTCAGCAGTAACTTATAAGCACTGTTTTCACGTGTCCTGGAGAGAGACACATATTACTTCAAATGCTTTGAACTTGACTCATTTAGACTGTTTATGATCTACTATCTACTGGGGATCTTAACGACTATGGGAAAAATGACTATCCGTGTCCTTGACATATTTTATAACTAGTGGTTTGATTTTTTAACAGTCTTCTAAGCGCGCACATTGCATGTGGTGTGCGTTATTCCCGTTTCTTGATTAATCATGACCGAGCGGTATAGTTTCTCTCTGACTACATTTAGGTAAGTCATCCATTAATTTTTGAAATAAATCAGTCCATCGGGAAAGCTTTTACAGATTGAGTATGCACTTAAGGCCGCAGACTATGGGGCGCCCTCCGTTGGTATTAAAGCCTCCAACGGGGTCGTTCTGGCCGTTGAGAAGAAGTTTACGTCGGAGTTAATTGACGAATCGACTGTATCCCGTATTGAGCCCGTTACTAAAAATGTGGGGATGGTTTACAGTGGTCTGTCGCCGGACTATCGCGTATTAGTCAAACAAGCGCGAAAGCTGGCACAAGGTTACCAATTAGCGTACGGCGACTCAATCTCTCCGGAGCAGCTGGTCATTCGGATTGCAGCTGTAATGCAAGAATACACGCAGTCCGGGTATGTTTTTTCTTTCTAACCCCTTGCCAACGATCTTAACGGACTGATGAATTTGACACATACAGCTCTCGCTTTTGCATATTTTCTGGTTATTCATGAAATTTATCCCACTCTAGACTGAATTTATATAACCTAGTTGTGACTCTGAACCCTGCCTCTTTGGAAACCGCACAACGTCGTGTAAACTATGGGAGAGTAGGTTATACAGGATGTGGAGGAATCAATGGTAGGACAATTGTAGGTAGTAGCGAAAGCCTTAGCCGTAGATTTTGCGTTTAGTGATTGCTGTCGCAATGGAGAAAGGTGGTGGGAAGTCATCTCCTATTCGTTTTAGCCCGTTTTTGTCCTTTCATGTCCTCCAGCAATCGCTGTCGGTTTTACACAGTGGCGCTTTGGCTGTAATGTCTCCTAGTCTTATCAAACCTTGCTGGTTATTGCGGTTTCCTCAAGGAAGTAGTTGCCAGTTTTTTTCCATTTTCAATGCAATATGGGGGAATTTTTTAAATTTTAGTCGGGGGTATTACAGGAGCGGGTAAAGTAATGCTGGAAAGAAGGACTAAGAAATTAAAAATACGGTCTCGCCTTTCGGCTGAATGCGCTCAGTGTCTTTGAGAAGTGTGGTAAGGCCCATTCGCGTTTTGTTGGTCTTATTGTCCAGCCGGTCTAAAGGGTCCATGTTTGTCTCTCAGACGCCTTTCGAGCATGAGTGAGTTATGAGCGTACCAACCGAGGGCTACGGGGGCCAATACTTCTGCCGGTGAACCTCGCCTATTGTACTCTGCAAGTTACTCGATGAACTGTCACCTTGCATATAGTCCAAAGTTAATTTATGATCTTAATCTTTAGATAGTCTGCTGGAGAATGACTACTCATGTCCCTGTTTATAATAAGCCCGTTTCCCTTCTGGTTAGGTTGTTAACACGTAGGATTCAAATTTGTGCACCTACGCTTACAGCGTCTGGACATATGCCTAATTCAACTGGTTCTCAGCACGTCAGAAACTTGGACGGATGGTTGTTGTCAGAAAGGCCAGTAGTGATGTTGAAACCGTCCCATTGTCATTACCAAAGTCTACCGATGGTTGCTCTGACAAGGATGTGCAGGTTTTGAGTTATCAATTCCATCGGAATCTTTTTTGTGGTTCGTACCGGCTACAATTCATGCTCGCAGCATGCACTAAAATCAATTCTTCAGGCGGTCGTAGTATATTTTCAAACCAGTAAAGGTGATTATCCCTAAACAAGGGCGGGAGTGACGGACTTCCAAGCTTTGCTTCCATAATGTGTTTGGTACGGTATGCCACGTAATTGCCCCTACTCTATCGTCTGCTCACATTTTCCCAGTCTGCAGTGCTCACACACCTATAAGAAAACATTCAAGCCGCTGTCCTTCAAATGAAGTCTCAGCAGGAGGGAAAGAAACGGTCTCTGAATAGACCTGATTTGATTTATGAGCTTGACCATTCGTCCTCGCAAACTGGTAACCGCCTGTGTATCCGGCTCAATCGTAAGCCTGGTCAACTTCGTCTCTTCCCGTGTTGATTCACAAATACGCGAGCACTGAAGACGGCTTCTACCTGCTGTCTTCTTGAAGCATACAGTGACACGATTTGTCATTGCAACCCGGGCCTGCGGAAGAAGCAACATTCAATAGTCGTAATTGATTTTGAAAATTCCTGAAGCAACCAGAGAAGTCTTGGTTTTACCTGTGGACTTCCGTTTAAGTAGCATGCACATACCCAATGCCTCCACTTGCCCCTGGCTTTTGACCGTAGTCTACTTGATGCGCCCGTGCCCACAGCTGGCTCAACTGGTGGTTCAGTCCAGTGTGCTGCGTAGCACACGCCAACGTGGTTGTCTATAAAAAGTCAACGCGTCGGGAGGAATAAAACACGGTCATTTGCGTTCATTGTTAACTTTAACAGATGCTTGATAGCGCGCCAAATGTCGAGGGACACCAGCTTGATATTTCCCCGCTTTACTCCATTTTTTCGATCGCCGTCTTTTTCACTTCCATCCTCTCCGTACATGGGTGCCTTCTGTCCAAACCTCAACACGCGAGGGTGGATGGCAGACTTTATGGTTTTCGCTCACAGACAAGACCGTTTTTATGTACGGCAATTAGTATAATTTAATCGTCTCACTTTCTTAGTGGCGTGCGACCTTTCGGCGTGTCTCTTCTCGTCGCTGGGTGGGATCACGACGCCAACCGACCCTACCTTTATCAGTGCGACCCCTCGGTAAGTCATCACACTTGCCTCCATAAGTTCATAACTTCCATGCGAGTGGAGTCGTTGGGTACTTTTTCTGTCCAGTGGTGGGGTGGTTGGCAGTTGCACATTTGGTGCGATTATGCTTGGTATGGTTTGGTCAGTAGGAAGAAACCAGCCGTATTAGGATACATTTCCATGGCGTTTTGCACCAAACCCTCTGCTGTGCCTGATCTTATTTACAGTCGGCTCGCCCAGACCTGTCACTGGTCGACAGGGAGGGGGATAGGGAGTGACGCTGATCCTACGCCACGTATCCTCACTAGTTTGCGTCACGCATGGGTTACTCCCACTCCTCTAGGAGCTTGGTGGTCCTCATCGTTCTCGGTGGACGAAATATCGTCCAGTCGAAGTGCGGGGTGACGGAAGCCTTTGGAAGACAGGGCTGTCACCTGGCCTTGCAGCGAGCTAGACGGCGCGTCCACTGATAACGGGTAGTGGAATGGCCTACTGCGATGACTGACAGGAAACCGAGCAGATTCGAATCCGACAAATAGGTAGTCAGGACCGTACAGGCCTACTATGCCAGGCTCGGCGGACATCAGCATGGGGAATGATTTATTTATAAAACGGTCAAAAGCCCTGACGATATTACAACGTAGCGACTTTTGCCCGCTATTCAGCAAGACCTCACCCATCGTTCAGATCGATCCCGGAACCCAAGTCGGTGTTATGGGGGCGAGAAAGGGACGGTCGTTTGATACGCTCACCATGGAGTCCAGGAGCTAAGGAAACCTCCCCGCTCAGTCTCTGTCCAGCGAGTTACGGCTTAGCCTTATTTTTGGCACGTGGTCCGCGCTGTCTAGATGGGCTTACCGAGAGCCAATGTCACCGATAGGATCAGTTTTCGCCCGGAGGCAATAACTCCTTTCACGTAGACTGACACCACACATAGGGCTGGTTTCTTATCCAGCAACAGCAGCAACCTAGGTCGATGGGCTATATGTCAGGTATGCAGATAAGCTTTCCTCATCACTCAGGTAACCCGTGCTACCGGCCCATCGTACGAATTCTCAGAAGTCAAGGCACACACCTGACGACGCGCACTATGTCTATCTTCCATAACATTGTCTGTTCGTTGTCAGAATCCGACACGAACAAAGTTCTGCAATCAAACATCCTCCACTACTTTAGACAAGTATAAAGTGTGTGATCTGGGTCTGAAGAAGGTAACCTGTGGGAATTTTCTTACAGGAATTGCGGTAATAGGAGTTATATGGGTGTGGCCTCATAGAAGTGTACTGGAAACGCTTTAAGGGAAAGCTATTCGGAGGCTCCGTGTCCGACAGAGTGGTGTTACCCCACGTGGACCAGGTACAGTACCACTCCTAGACTGAAAATCGCCGGCCTAGAGAAGGCATTGAAGACTTTTCTATCCCATATTGAGACGTAGAGGAGTAGGTCGTGTCGAAATTTTCTCCGTTGGGTGTTCGGACGTGACGTCGATGTAGGCGGTGGGACTATGTATAGGTAGACCCCTCATGTGTCCCCTCAACTACGGACAAATCATTTTCCTAAAAAGTTGCGTTTATGAGGTATAAAACAATTTTTTGCAGCACCGCGTCCTTAGAATGATTTAGTTCGAAAAATTAAAGCGATCCCCCACCGTCTCCGACACAGTTTTTTTCAACATTTGTGGAAAAACAGTCAAATGATCAAACTGAGGGCGGGCCACTTATTACGCTGCTGAAGGAATGGTTGCCGCACCGATAAGAGCGCCTCTAGTTGCTCAGCGGCTGCTTCCGAATGAACCCAGAGTGACCCTTTCTAAAGTTGTCCGCGCAAAGTTCCATTGTCTATGCATTGTCCTCTGCTGCTGAAACTCTAGTAGTAATCTGAAATCTTTGAAACAACAGTCCTGAATGAAGATGGGTTGTTAGCTGAAGTCCGCGAGAGCTATTCTGCTGTTACATATGAGGAACTTTGTATATTTCAGAATGTGTGGCATATTGGACTTGTCTCGTAAGATTGGTCCAATGCTGCTTTGCCTTCTTCAAAAGGAAGACAAGAGGGAATGCTGAAACTAGCCTTGCCAACGTGACCTCAAATATCTTTGCGTGTATCATCCTCAACCACGTTCATCTCATCGGGGAACACGAATAATAAAAAACCAGGACGGTTTCCGACCTGTATCGACCAAATGTCCATTGTGATGAATCGTAGTGTGTCTTCTATTTCCTTGCTTTTACCGTGGCGCTTGACCTCAACCAAAAGGACTGTCTAAGGAGGGGGGAGGGTCGTGTTGACTGATATGTCCCGAAACCAATGAACCGGGCCAAGGCATGCTCTAACCCCACACGAACACAAGCCCAAGCTTACTATTATGGAAACGAATGCTTCGGTGTTAACACTAGCGTCTGACAGAGTTGTGTCCTCTTGCCAGTCCTCAGAGTATGCGGCAGACTCAGATCTGAAGATGAAGATAGGCTCTCCGGAACAGGTTTATTTAAGTGCTGACGCTTCGAAGAGCTGGGTCGGCTCTTCATTGTCAAAGCGTAAAATGCGCTTAATCGATCAGAAATTTAAGTTAAAGTGGCATCTTGTGTTGGTCGGCCTCATGCTGATAGATTTTTCTCTCCTCTCGCTGTCTCGGCCTCTCGGCAGATGGTTGACGGGCGCTTTGCCGGCGTGCTTTGTGAGTCACCACTCCGTTGGGGAAAGCTGATGAAAACTTTGTCGGGAGGTCAGTCTGGCGGTTCTTGTTCTTCCTCACCGAGTAAACTCGCCGTCGTGATATCTCCTTACGGCCTTCTTAAGTCCGGTGTAGTTGTTTTTTTCCTGAGTTCTACGATTGTGATGATGTAGGACTTTGTAAGCTGCAGGACGGTTCAGATGCCCGTCGATGGAGTTTACATCAGAGGACTACGCCTCGAGATTTAGCCACTCTGCTCTTGTGTTGCCCCGGCCTATTATGATAGCCCTCTGGAGATCGAACGTATGCCCAGTTTCTCCAACGTGTGTTGATAGTTGAGGGTTAGGGTCTAACCTCCGAGTGGCCGATTTGTGCTCTTGTAGGCGAGTTTGCAATTTTCGCCCGGTTTCGCCCACATAGTTGCAGTCGCCCTCATTGCAATTTATTTTGTAGATGATTGCTGAGGTTTCAGCGGGTGAAAATGGGTCCTTAGGCTGCATCAGGCGACGTCGAATTGTTGCTTGGGGTCGATGGGCTATGCCTGCTCTGGTGGGTTGTAACAGTTGCGAGACCGCTTCAGAGACCCCTTTAACGTAAGGAATGGCTCTCCAGTCCTTCGGGTTGCTGCTCATTTGGCCGTCGCCTGAGCGCCCAACATCTGCTTCACTCGATGAAATGTCTGGGATAACCATTGGCTGCAAATAGGTTCACAAGGTACAATCATTCGGCGCTTTTATCTTCAGGCGTGCTGCAGTGTGTTTCGACTCTTTGGAATAGAGTGCGGACACAACTACGTTCGTGAGACAGAGAATGGTTGCTGTTTAAGTGTAGGATCTGTATCGTGTTGGTGGATTTTCGGAATACTGTAGTTTTCAGCTGTCCAGTGGTACACCGGCACACAAGTACGTCAAGGAAGGACAGTTGGTTGTTTGTCTCTGCTTTCATCGTAATTAGGATATTCGGGCCAACCGAGTTCATTAGTTCTTTTAGGTGCTCAATGTTAGTTGTTTTGATGACGAAGGTGTCATCTACATAGCGTGTCCAGAACTTTGGTTGATACTTGGTGAACACTAAGTGTTCTACCCGTTGAAGATCTACTTCAGCACTTAAATAAACCTGTTTCGGAGAGCCTATCTTCATCTTCAAATAATCAACCCGCATCTCTCAACTTTGCCAACCTGAACAGGCTCAGATCTGTACACAGCATTCCGGGACTACGAGAACGTCCAGGTGGACCAGGGTCTCATCTTGATTCTTGCTTATGCCGACAACATCACCTGGCCTGGAACTACCGCGAGCTGTAATCTGTTCTTTCCCGCTTATCAGGTCGGCGATTGAGCAGTAGCAAAATCGAAGTAGATCGTGGAATATCATATCTACCTTTGTTCCTCTCTCCCACCTACTGGCGTGTGTCAGGTTACGACCAGAGCAGTCCAGCTATGTCTGCTAAACACGCTTTTGCCCGCCGCTGACAACTAGCACCCTTGGACAATACTACATTTTCGATTTATGGACCAACTCTCGAGTGTGGAACTTTACCAATGACGTTGCGGGCGTTATATTTAAGTCACTATCTCAGATGGTTCTGTCACATCACTGCTCGACCCAAAGGGGGGCTCATTTGCAATGGCATCTCTCTAAACCCCTGCTGGACTCGTTCTTTTCGGCCAGAAAATGAAACACCAGTTAGGCCAAGATTGGTGAGGGTCTAGTCGAAGGTCGTAGAACATGAGTCGTACCAGTCTTTGACCTCATGGAGCCTACAGTTGGCCAAATTGGCATTATTTTTAGCCGTCACCAGTACCAGTAGGTCGAATCTCGGACTTCTCTATCGTTTATCAAGGTCCACCTGGTACTTTTTCTCAGCTAGTTTTTGCGCAATTTACCGAAGGCTTTGTTCCGCTCGCTCAGATACGGTCAAAACACGCCCTTAGATAAGCTACTGCGTGTTCGGCTTGCATTTTCACCTGTACGGCTACCGGTCCCTCGCTCGTCTCCACCTAACATGATTGATTTGAGCATTCACAAGTTTGTACCTCTGCTGTTATGTGCTGTGTAATGTACTTCTGGCTCGTCAATAAAATCCCTTTTTCTTCTCGTCAAGGGCACATTTTTCCCTTGGAAAGCCACCGCTCTGGGAAAGAATTCGATGAATGGGAAAGCCTTCCTCGAGAAACGGTAAGCTTATTTTTGAGTACCACGGCAAGCCATTTACATTGCTCTATCCTCCTCGTTCTTGGTTATTAGTAGACCTTATGGGGTGGTGCATTTACTAGAACTTTAGTGCGGAACTCCTCAACCGCTATCATAATACTGATGAGGTAAAATCTGCTAGGTTGACTATGGAGTGTTGCCTTCGGATCTGTATCTATCGACTGACATAACCATCTTCCCCGTTAGCATTTGCGGGATGTTTTTCAATCAGACCTGGCAACTCTACATTTATGGTTATTTGTTCTTTGTCTATTTGTTTGCTACTTGACCTTGGTTTTCTGATCGAACTTCCGTCTACTCCGCGTAATTTAGCCGCGGCCTTTTCGGCGTTACTTTCTTATGTATTCGATACATTTAGATCTTTAGGTCTATGCGCCTGATAGTTTCTTTAAGAATTCACCACAGCCCATCAGTTGAAGGAAATTTCAGGTTTGGCAGATAATGATACCTCCCGAAAAGCACAGTGATGATAAGCGCTACTGAATTAATTTTAGTAGTGTCGGCATGTTACACAATAAGTGTACAATGCGGGACCACTTTTCTCTAACGTACGTCCTCCCCTGATGTGCGTCATGCTTTTCAAATTGGTGATTTTCAGAGCTGTTGGCTATCTTCGACTCAACTACAGTGATGGGAAAAGCACTCAATTTTTATACTCGAACGAGAGAGAAGTAGTTGCAGGGGAATCACCTTCCGTTCCGTGATTAAAACAGCCTGGAAAAGTAAACATGGTTAACTGTGTTCAGCTTAGAGCGTGATTCTCAGGTGAGAAGGGGACATCCGCTGCATGGTAGATGAGAAAAAAATCGTTTGGCATTCCTCAAAATTTGCCTACGCTCTAACCGTTTCCTGGTTGGATCGTTTGTGTCTGTCACAGTCGTTGTTATAAACTCGTATATGACCTTTCATATCCACCTGCCCCTCCGAATTCATCCGGTAATGGCGGTTTTTCTTCTCTGGTCTACTTTAGACACAGCGACAAACTAGAACTGGAGGACGCTGTACATGCTGCCATTCTGACCCTAAAGGAAAGTTTTGAGGGCCAGATGACGGAAAACAACATCGAAATCGCCGTCTGCAACGAGAAGGGCTTTCGCATTCTGGAGCCGTCCGAGATTAAGGACTATCTAGCCACCATTCCCTAGGGCATTCTCTAGTCCTTCACCTGACCACATTTTGTGTACCTATCCAGTGCCCGATGCAGCCCTCCCCCATATCCACGCTCTCCAACTGTGCGCCTTGTTCCTTCTGGTCTTAATTTTGTTGGAATGAGTAGGTGAGAAAACTGCCATCGTTGTGTCAAGCGAATGCTCATTGGGCGTTGTCAAGGTTATCCGGGGAAACTGGAACGAAAAAGCAGGGTACTTTGAGAACCATTGGCGGTTGGGCGAGGAAGTTTGTGTTCATTTCAACCGCACCGGTTCCACTCCGGCAGATTCCAGGGTCCAACGTATGGCAGTTGGCCTTCTTAATCAACGACAACCACATCCATTGGATTCTTTGTGTCCTGAGTAATACTCAGAGCACTTCGGTAGTCCGTGTCACTGCGCTTTCGGGAGTGACCGACGTATCCATTCTTAACCTAAAATTGCGTTAGCGATGGGAGAAATTAGTGTTGCTCTTGTCGTATTGTAAGCGATTAATGTGGGTGGTTGGAGCCGTGGCGTGCTTTAAGCAGACGAGTCGGGTCCATCAGTCTGTTTGCGGTGGGCGTCGAGACCTCAGTCGTGACAGGGCGTGGCGTTGATGAGACCAGGTTGCGCAACTGCCGGTCTCACATTGAAGCCCCTAACACGGCCTGCTGGCGTGGTCTGCTTGGTCTTAGTCTGGCTTTTTCACACGAGTTGGGGTGTTGTAGACACCTGCGGTGGTAGGCTGAGTCCGAAGAATCGTGTTGGCCGTACGTAGAAACTGACAGTCCGATCGTCGCGAGCGACGACATCCACAGTGTGTCCCGCCTAGCGGGTGCAGCACTTGTGACTTGCACGTGAAGTAGTCAGACTTGCGCAGCATCTGTCACCTCCCTCATCCACCTTGCTCCAATGTCAACATGATCGGAGACGGTCGCGGACACAGTGGCTGGTGAAGCTTTACGGTCCGCGTGCATGTCGCACATGACCTGGTCTCCATTCTAGATGTACCAGGCTCGATTCGGACCTCACGTAAGTGAGGATGTCACAAGGCCCACATTTAGGGCTCACTGCAGCCTGGCTGTCAGTCCTGAGAAAGGTCAAGTTATCCTGTCAGTTGGTAATCTCCTGAGTCGCGACTTACTGCGGCGCAGGTAGATCAGACTATCTAGAGTTGAGGATGCGTTGATGTGTCACTTGAATGGGTTTCCTGGTGTTCGTTTCGTTCACCCCTCTGAGTCGCCAGTCGACTGTTCGACCCTGTCAAACAACAGACGATGAGACAGGCGTAATGTCCAACGAAGCCAAACCGTTCGTCTGTGTGTACCGGCGATTCGACCGTCGTTGCCGGCGATGTCTAATGTGTGCTTCACAGCGAGATGAGTCAGGCACGGTGACTTGCGCGCGAATTAGTTTAGTGAGAGTCGACTTTCGCAGCATTTACCGCACTCTCTCCCCAACTGGACCCAACGTTAAGACAGTCAAGAAGACCGGAGGCGGGAGAGGGCGCAGGTGGCTGGCACGGTCGGGCCCGCACTTGGGTGTACCACTACATCTGGTCCACAATAAACTTGGCCGGAACGGTGCGATGGTGTGGTACAACTGGCGGTTGTCTACCACAGGTTTTAATGGACGCGCAGGTGGCCTAATACACACATGCGGTGAATAAATGTGCGAGTGCAATGTGGGGACAGTGGGGACGCATGCGGTGAACGTAGGTTGCTACTCCAGGCACTGGTCTGTCCGATGGATCCGCAAGTGACCGACCAGGCCGAGGCGTAAGGTGAGCGTACGATCACAATGAGGACAAGTATGAACCGAGTCAACATCGCTGGAGGTGGGGATGTTGGTGATGTTTGAAGTTGGCGAGACTTCGCCACATCGGTGGGAGGGGGGTAGTACCTGAATACGTGGTGGTGGTGGTGGTGATGATGATGCTGGCCGCTACGGTCGACTCAGGGGCTGGGGCAGGACAGATGATTTCGGTGGCGGCGGCGGCACAGCAACCGCGTGATCAGCGATGACGGGGGTAGTCGTCGTCGCGGAGTCTGCAGCAGGAGGGAGAGTGGCGGAAGAAGTAGACGTCGGATTGTTGGCGCATTGAGTCCGAGGGTGTCCTGTAAAACCGATTTACATCCGGAACGTCCACTGACACCTTGCCTAAGAATGGCGTGGATGCTGAGGATTCCGGCCCGTTCCAGGACTTCCGTGTCCATGATCCTGTCCTGCCATCTCCGAAGGCAGTTGAGGTGGAAGTGGTTGTGCTTCCTGCCATGGTTTGCGTAGACGGTCCAGGTCTCCATACAGGAGTATCAGAAAGACGACGGGCTTGTAAACCGTCAGTTGGATGTTCAGTTGGACACCGTAACGATTCCACACGAAGACTTGCAGCCGGCTAAAGGCCTGCCTGACTTTAGAGAGTCGGCGGCCGCCTCATCGTAGAGATTTGGGCTGCGCAAGAGTGTGCCTCATAGGTAGGCAGTTATCCAAGGTTTGGAGTTCGTTGCCGTCAACAGTGATCCGAAAAGTGTTATATGTCCAGTCACGGTTGGTGCATGACCACCGCTTAGTCCGCGTCGATTGTCGGGCTGAAGTTGTCACAAGTGGTGGTGAAAAGATCCGTGCTCTCTTACGTGCCCCCTCCACTTGTTGTTTTAAGAACGCAATCGTCGGTGAAGAGAAGTTCGTGATCGGCAGTTCTTGATACACCCGAGGATTGAGTAGTTGTCCCCCCATCCTGTTGGATCTCAGGACGTTTCTCACGGGAGGCGTTCATTAGCATGACAGAGAACATGAGACTGAAGAGGGTAGGCGCGATGACGCAGCCCTGCTTCACTCCTTTGGTCACTACGAGCGCCTTTGAGACGGTTCCATTGTCTGTGACTCGCGCCATCATGCCATCGTGGAGCTGACGCACCATCTGGGTAAGTCGCTCGGGACAGCCGGATTTTTACATAATTTCTCGCAGTCCTTCGCTATTCACCGTGTGGAAGGCTTTCGTCAGGTATACGAAGGTACAGTAGACATGGATCCGCATCTCCTGCAACTTCGTTTACAGCAGGCGGGCGGCAAACATCACGTCGATGGTGCCGTGGTGACTGCGGAAGCCTCGACGGCCTTCCGGCAGGAGACCCTGCTCCAGATGGTTGTTGTGACGGTTGAAAAGAATGCGAACGGAGACTTTTCCGACGATGTTGAGCAGCAGGATTCCTCTGTGATTGTCTGTGTTGCCTGTAGAGATGGACGTTTGAGGCGTCCTTGAAATCCTGCGGGACTTGTCCTTGACGCCACATCTAGAAAGGCGCGCCAGCTGATTCATAAGTTGGGACCGCTGTGCCTGTAAATCTCACCAGGGATCGCGTCTGATCTGGGGAAGTTCCCGCTGGAGAGGTGCTGTACGGCCCTGAAGGTTTCGTGGACAGTGGGCCGGAGGTCGAGGTTGGCGTTGATTTCCACTGGAGGCAGACGGGCGGTGGCGGCGTCGGAGATGGTGGAGGGACGGTTGAGGACGCCTCTGAAGTGTTCGGCCGATTGCTACAGAATTTGCGCTTTCTCAGTGAGTAGGGTAATTCCGTCGTCGATGAGAAGAAGAGCGGTTCATTTGACTGTGCGACCGTAGACAACATTGATAGCAGCAAGGAGGTTCTTTCGTTTGCTGTGGCCCGCGTATCCTTGGATTTTCTCAGTCTTACGAACCGTCCAGGAGTTTCGCATCTTCTGCAGTCGCTGTTTCCTAGGATGGAGACTGGGGTAGAAGGCTGTCTTGTTTGCATCGGTGGGACGATTAACGTCGGCAACGTGCCCGGCTGAGGACAGTTGTGGCGATCGACTGGACTGTGTCCCTCAGTTGGTTGGTTCTCCACGGAGTCGTCATCGTCCGTTGTGACTGAAAGGTTGACTAGCATCTGAGCTAGTTCACTGCTGAAATGGAGGTGGGGAGAAGGCAAACACAACAAAGCAGTATTCAACCTACCTTTGAATCACTTACCTTGAGGTCTTCTGGGTAGGTGTAGGCGGATCCTCGTCCTGGAGACGACGATGCGACGGTCGGTCTATCCGTTGGCACCCGGGGTCGCCTTTGTCCCCAGCACGTCCTGTTGATCCCGCCTCCGAACGAGGAGATAGTCCAGCAGGTGTCAGTGTCGCGATCGAGGTGAATCCAGGTCACCTTCTTCCGGATCGGAAGGCGGAGTAAAGTGTTGGTCGGCGTGGGGCAGTGCTCTGCGCAGGTTCGTAGGGAGAGCAGGCCGTTGTCATTGGAGCCGCCGAGACCATGCAGACCTAGTCCTCCTCCCCAGGCAGCATGATCTGTCCCGACGTGGACGCTGAAGTCAGCAAAGCCAATCACCTTATCGGCTTTCGGCACAGACGCCAGGAGGGCGTACAGGTCCTCGTAGAATTGGTTCTTTGCCTCGTCAGAGCTGGCCATCAGGGGGCGTAGACGCCGATGATTGTGGCGAATCTGTTTCCCCCAAGAGTTTAGCGAAGCCTCATCAGACGATCGTTGATACCCTGCGTCAGACAGGCCAGTCATCCCACGGTGTCGTTCCGAGTGGTAAAGACGACGACTGTACCCCGTCGCCCTGCTCTGGGGCGGCCGCTCCAGAAGAATGCGTAGTCGACACCCACCTCCTCCAGTTCACCTTGTTCGGAGGACCGGGTCTCGCTGAGTGCGACGATGTCCACCTTGGAGCGCGTCACTTCCTGAGCGAATAGCGCCGTCCTTCGTTCCAGTCAGTTGCTCCTGCGATTGTCTAAACGGAGAACGAACATTCCAGGCTGCCAGAGTGAACGGACTCACCCTACCAACCTGTGGGGTGGTACGGAGGGGAGGAGCAAGGAGAAGAGAGAGAGAGAGTATTTTGCCTTGTGTTTTAATTTCGACCGTATGTGTAGCAGTCTGCAAACCACGGTCTGCACTTTTTCTAACCCCGTCCCCCCGTGGAAAAACAGTGCTTTCCCTAAATAGGGCTGCTTTGTCGTCCCAGACGTTTACCGCTCTCCACTATGGGTCACGTATTACTTTATTGGGAGAACGAGCCAATTGGTCTAGACCGTCTACTTGATTGCATGCCGTCCTCGCCGTAGGTTTTTTCGACCGTGTGGAAAAAGAAGAGAGTAGAGAGTAGGCAGAGTAGATAGTAGAGATGAAAAGGGAATGAAAAGGTTATGGACGTGATGGAGAGAGGGGAAGGAGAGCAGCGTTGTCGTGTGTGGGGATACACATGGATTCCCTTACCCCGTCCGGCCCGCCGGTCGAGGCGGTTACCCGGCCGTGGCCGTTAAGCAGAGCCTGGCTTCGAGGAGTCACATGTGAGAGCAGAGGGCCAGTTAATGGACGCCAGACGTAGTCAACACGCGTAAGCAAGTGAGCGACCTACTATGACCATCGTGTTGACCCACAACTGAACACCCCTACATCCCCTGTGTGTGTGACACATACATGGTCTCCACCCCCGGTGTGCTAGGAGGCCTCGGATCTCGCAAAGAAACCACTCGGTCACACCAACAAAACCTTTGGAATCCTCTTTAAACACATAAGATCATTCAGGAGGATTCAAAAAGACAGATGTGAGTTGTCGCGTACCTTCCCATCCGATCCTCAAGAAATGTGTTCATATATCTGCGCCTCTAGAACCGCAAGGGAGACCCGCAGAGCACATTCACAAAGCCACGGCATTGCTTCCTACATTCCACGAATATTTATTGAGCAACAGGATATATTGTTACGAAACCGAGTTTCGCTACCAACGCTCGGTCAGAGAGGTTGTCGCACCCAAAGGAGTTAGCGTACCAACTGGATGTGAGTGAAGAACCCGACCTTTTTCATAGGAGTTACTGCCACAACTTCCCGTCCTCCTCCCTTAACTGCACACGCCAAAAAAACCAGGAGCTCCAGCTCGTGAGGGGGGGGGGCAGAGCTATTGTCTTAGATCCTCATGACGCTGACTGTCAACGAAACAGGCCTTGATTTACTTGAATTCTGACTGCACTAGAATATTTGCCTGACATGCCTCACAATCTCGGCGCCAGATGACTCAGTCTCGTTTCCGAGGGGGAAAACTCTCTGAAAGACCCCTGTGTGAATCTAACATCATCAGCTTACTAGAACGGCCGTCGTCGATATCATAATCTCTTGCAGAATGTGCCAATCCATTTACGATAGTTAGTATGCCGAACATGATTCCAAATTCATGCTGCGACCACGTTTCACTACACAATGGTGACCCTCAGGTATATGGCCCTGCTAGATGGCACAGATATAACTGGCCGCATTTCATTCTGAAGTCCTACAGCCCTCACGACCCGCAGCGTAGAAACATGCGATAAGCAGGAAGGACAGAAAGTCTGTGGCCCAGTTCTGACGTATTCATACAACAGTCCCACGGCCAAGAAGCCTTGGAACCTCGGTCGGCCTACAGAAACTGCCGAGTTTGCAGCATGGTTTGCTGGCCGTTATAAGGAAGCTGAAAACTGCATTTCTAGTAACCCATTTGAATAAGAGACCTTAAAATGCAGGCATCGGTTTGCGTCTACCAGATTCTGATTGCAGGGAGCGGAGAACGCTCTTTGAAACATGGAAAGACCAATAAGCATGTATCTGTGAATGCAGTTTTTACATCCATGTTGTGCCTCCCCTTTCTCCCTCCCTCTTCCTCCTCCTTCTCCCTCTCCCTCGCTCGGGAATGTTGTATTGCAAGGTGATTGGGCCGACGTCTCCAACTCCTGCATGGTTAGTAACTACATTCTGTGACCGCTCTCATGCAATTTGCGCCGAAATTCTGAAATGCGTTTTGGATTAGGAAGGATTACGTAGGCGGGTTTGTAATATTGATTATCATGTGGGCACAAGCCGATGATATTTCAGACTCGCCAAGATAGCTTTCGAGTGCTCTTCTTTCTGATCACATGTGAAAATTGCCCTTGGCAAAAGTGAATACTTACGTGGTATGCATGTTCCACATGATGGCCTTTAAAGTGCACTTCATAGGAAGCGTGCACAGAAAATATGCTTTTTTTGTTCGTTCGGTAGCAAATGACGTCGTCCTTACATTTTATACACAAAGAAAGGATATATTTAAGTTGTAAAAAAGTTTTTCAGTTCCCGAATAATTTTGTGCCAGATCAGCCGGCATACACTTTCCGTGTATAAAAAATCATATATTTCCTTATGCCTTTCAGAAGATACCATATAGAGTTCACAAAATTTTGCAATTGGTTCGGACTTCATGAGAAGCACTAATAATTGGACAGGTACGGTGCTGTGCGAGTGGACACTGCACGGCTTTAAAAAGTTTCCCAGCAAGTAACTTTTTAAAACCGAAAAGTGCTCTTTCTTTGATTAGAAAATACAAAGACGACGTGATTTGATACCAAATGAGTGAAAGAAAACACATTTTTGTGCATGGTTTTTTAATAAAATATGTATTGATTTATAGAGCCACAGAAAATCAGCGCGCAAAATGCATACTACTTAAGCAGGCATTTTGACGAGGCGATTTAAAAGAAAAACTTCTAAAAGCCGACAACATGACACGTTCAAAATATTATAGGGGTATGCTGTGTGATGAGTAATATTGCAACCCCATCTAAGTAATCCTTCTAATTCGGAAAAGCATTTCAGAATTTCGGCTAACAGTTCATGTGATCTGTCACTCATTATAACTTTAGTTGCTCACGCATTTACATGGAACAAATCATCATCCATTGATTTTGAAGTAATAATGCCGATCGGTCTGAAATACATGAGCTAATCTTGTCGTTTATCAACCACGTTGTTCTTCAAATAGCCTGTTCAGGATGATTGGGATTCCTAATTGTTTTTTTCATTGAAACTGATGTCAAGACTCTTTCTTGACCGACTTCTTACAGGCATACAGATCTCGTCACAGGCACTTGGTGGAGCTGCGTCGATAGGCAACGTCTCATCCCATTCGAAGTAAGGACATTTACAAGTGTAGATATAGAAACTAGAGATCTGGGGGAACGCGATCATGCCGACGGACGGTATGCTAGCGTCTACTTAGGTAAACTTCGGGTATCGCCCTAAATGACCGGTATACACTGGAGAGCAATCCACGCAGGCAATATGATATGTAGCACTGCGCTTGTATTCCCCTGGTATTAAGTCCCTGACTCGAGACAGAACTGCCTGCAAGCTTGTGTGACGAGTAAATAACAGCGTCATTGAACTGTTGCGATTTGTTAGTGCTTCCGGGTCGACCCTCCACCGTTCGTTTCTGGCTTTCGCGCCTAAGACAGTTTTTATCGAAGGTCGTTGGATACCCTCGCGATTACAGTGAGTCATAGAAATGAGTCGATCAGTTCTTGGGCAGACTCATTTTGAAATCCTACTCGAAGATGCGGCGTTAGAAGCTCCCGAAAAACCCCCGGTTTTGTCGACGGGAAATTCCTTGTGAAGGTCCCATCCAGTCATTGTAGGCTAACATCCAGAACTGAAATGTGACCCTCTGGGGACCCTTCATTCTATTTAGCATCCAGTGGGTGCATTCAGCCCCGTGTCTTATAATGACCACAAAAGCGTCATTGCGATGCGGAGTCTTGTCGTCCAAATCGTCCACGATATTCTTCCCCTGTCCATCGCAAAACCTCTCGAAATCACAGCTATTATTGAGGTAAAGACGAAGCGTCTCTGTCACTCGATACTCTGACGTTTGTTTATTTATGCAATCATCTCACTACGTTTCACGGCTCTCTTATAATGTTTGAAATTAGTATCTGTAGAATAGCATTACCGACAAAGACAAGGGAGACTGGATTGAAACATTCAATAGATAACTCCGGACGTATAGAGAGGAGCGGCTCAAAACTTCGCAAGAAACAACGCATTGGCAGAACCTGCTTCAGGGCCCGGCTAATTTTGTGGAACGCAAGGGAAATGTTAGCGATATAATGCGGACCGTTTGTCCGGTACCTGGGATGTCACGACAGCCGCTCGGCGAGGTCGTAGGTCGATAGCCCTGGGAGACAGTGCAGATATCGATCACACATCTGATTATTTGTACCTCTGTGAGGTCATTAGCGTAGGTGGTGCAAGACATACTGACGCTCATTAAGTCTGCGTCGCTTCGGTTCACGATTTTCAGTCCAGCATACCTGTCCATTCTGCGCTCTTCATTGTGGCTGAGTCAGACTATTTCATGACGTTGTTTTGCTGGAAAACATTTCTCTGCGCGCGACGTTAATCTAGATGGGCTTTGTTGTTGCGTTTGGACGAAGACTGTTCCAATCGGCATTCATCTTCTCCTGATAAGCCCATCGAGACCGCACGTGTCTTAGTTCAGAAACAAGGTTAGGTTGTAGCTTGCTGGACAGCAAATGTGTGGGGACTCTCAGCTGATGTGTGAATCCTCCTAGCTTCAGGATTCAAATGTTCGCGTCTCAACCCGCATTATTTAGCACACCGAATCAAGGTTCAGGGATTAATTACCATAACTCGTAGTCTTTTTATAGATAATCAATTTCCCGGATGTGCCTTTAGCCAAGTCTGGGATACAGTAGGTGGGCTAACTC